TAGATGTGTATAAGAGACATGTTTTAGGTTTACTTCGTAGGGTATAATTTAGAGTACCCCATTTTGAAATTTTACAATCAATCCAAGTAGCTTTATAAATTTTACTAAAACCTCCTTCACCAATAAGTTCTATATTTTCGAATTTTTCATAAGGAACAAACATCATTTTCCCATTTTTTTTAGTATCATTAATTTGAGTATATCTGATAAAATCATCAATAACTTTATTTCCACTCGGTATAATTCTTTTTTTTGCTTTGTAACACGTACAGCAAATCTGGGGATTTTTTTTTGAAGGTCTTCTTAATTTGTTACATTCACTACATTTCGTTTTTTTGTATTTTGTTTCAATCTTAGTTTGTGTTGGTTGTGCATCGCTTGATAGTAAAAAATCAATTTTATGTCTAATATCCGCTGATTCATCCATTATTATTACGACAATTCTTTTAAAAATTTTGGGCGTTGTAAATGTCCATTTAAATACCTTCAATTTATTAAACCCGGAGTTTTTTTTTCAATCAAATTATTATCCTATTATATGCAATTTCCAATAGAAATTTCCTTAAGTAATCATTAAATGTACAAATATGTACCTATAGAATGCAATAAAATTCGAAATCGAAATCTCTCTTCTTTGATAGATTTCTAATTGTGGTTACAGCGAGCCCAAATTTCTTTGTATTTCTTATCTGTTAGCTGATACAACAAAGAATTAATGGAAAAAAAAAGAAATTTCTTTTTTTTTGTGTAAATTTTGTTTAATGTATTTTTATGCATAACATCAGCTGGTATTTTTTTTTTTAATTTACTCTTGTTAATTGTTTCTCTCGTTTCAAAATCAAACAACTAAAGTAAGTTTCGATGTTTTGGGGGAATGGAATCGTTCTTAATGTTAACGTCGCCTTTATTTCGTAAGAATTCGACATCAAGAGTCTGGAGATAAAACTTTGGAAATTAAAGTTCGGAACTTTTGAGTAGAGCTGTATTAAAAAAACGGGTAACCGATCATCGAATGTTCGATTGATTCACATATGATCGATTTGTATGCAAGTTTTTTTTTTCGATCATCGATCACTTGTTCTTATTTTAGCTCTGACAAATATAATTGAGGAATATTATAACATATAAATAATTATTATATCAGTAAAAAAAAAATGCTTTGTAGAAACTATAGCAACTACCTTCCTCTTCCATGTTGACTCGTATATACAGTAATATATACTATATAGCTTATGAAATCTTAATTCTGGTAGAATTAGGCTTGTATCCTATATTTTAAATCATTTAGTTAATTTGTATCATCACGAGGTATTTTAACACAATATTATACGTTAAAGTGAATAACCTTAATAAACATATTTTACTTAATTATCTTTGCCTAATTATCCAATATCCAGTCTTTAAACGAAACCTTCAATGTGTCATTCTAATATTTAACAAGTTTCTTTTAAAGGTTTGTCGATAATTTCAAGTCTTCAAATACTTGTACAATTCGAATTCCTCTCTCTATATATTGTTGGTTACACAATAAATTTTACCGGTAATACTATAGGCGGAATTTCTTTTTTTAATTCAATTGGAACTAATAAGTAATAATTGATTTTTTTTTTCTAATGATTTTACTTTTATATAAAGAAAATACAGGATGTACCCCAAGACGCGGTTCAGATGGATAAAATCGAAAAAAAGAAATCACATTTTTTTTTTTAATATCTCTTGATGTGACTTGAACAATTTAGTATATATTCGGGATATAATAATAATAATAATAATAAATAATAAAAAAATAATAAATAATTTTTTTTTTTTTTTAGGAACCATTAAGGTAATTCATGAGAAATAATTTCATCAAAATTTTTACTAGAAATGAATATATTAAAGGCGTTTTAAATAAATAAGGATTTATATTTAGGAACATTCTTAAAATTCTATAACAAGTAATTTGGCTTACTTGTTTCATTTTCAAAAAAACGAGTTTTTTCTGAAACCTAGATACAATAAGTTTCAGAACTAAATACCTAAAATAATTTCAAGGTTTTAGGCCTAGATTATTAATGTATCAATATTGGGTAAAAACTTTAATTGTTTCAGATTACTGTATTGGAGTTATCCGTTATCGGGAATTATCGATATTTACAAATAATATAATACATAATAAATACAAATTATATCTTATTCATTTTTTAATTTTTAATAATCAGAAGTTTTATTGCTGCAGGAATGCTTTTGCTTTGCTTCTCATACTTCTCATTTTCTCATTGAGAAAAAAAAAAAAAAAAAAAAATAATAATAAATAAATTTTTTTTAAATAATAATAAATTTTTTCTTTTAATTTAAATTTTATAACATATAAATTACAAATTATAAACCGATAAAGAATTTTAAAGATATTGGTAAATTCTTAGAAAATTATTGTATATTCCGACCTTTTTTTTGTTTTACCCGAATTGTCATACTTAACAAATAACATGCGGAAAATTGCGCCATCTTTTTCTGCAGATAAAAAGGTACTTTTTTGTTTACAATAATTTTGATAACTTTATTGGCTTTTTATAGGTTGGTTATTTGAAAAATATGAGAAAAAAATAAAAGACACTTTATTTTATACCCTTTAATGGTTGGTAAAAAACAAATTTGCCATTAATCACTAATACAAGTAAGATTATGACCTTCCTTTTATAAATTATATGATTTAATTATACGATAATTATATGGTCAAATCCTAAATTATTCAATAAATTTACTAACTGAAAAAAAAGTAGTATCAAAAACATACAATTGTCATGTCTAATAAAGATTACTCTGTATTATTGTTTTAATGCGTTCTAAACTTTGATTAGAAATAAATAATGTAATAATGTATAAACTTTTAGATCCTTTTAAACCCCATTCATACTTTTTTGAGTTATAATTCCAACAATGTTTACTCGTGGCCAAATATGGTCAAAAAAATTAATTTCCATAGAATCTTACTTTTATCAAAATGTATTTTTTTTTTTGCACTTTTTTGTTTTTTTTTTTTTTTTTTTTTTCGCGAAAAAAAAAAAAAAATAGTTTTATATTGTTTTGAAATTTTATTATCTTTACTTTCTCCATCAAATTGATTGATTCAAATTTGATTATCATACTTAATCATACTTTTTTAGAAAAATTCAAACATGATCGAATACTTGTTGTAAATAACAATAATAAAGATTATCAATTCATGTAATTTATGTAATTAACAATTTATGTAATTAACAATTTAGGTAATTTTATTTAATTAACAAAATCTCGTTTCGACTTTTACAAAATCTCTATAATATATAATATTTCTAAATTTGGACATCGCATTACTATTTATGTTTATTTCGCAATATGACATCATTATAAAATTAAAAGAAATTTATTTATTTTATCCACGAAAAAAATAATAATTTGCGAAATATACATAATATACAAGTAAGGAAAGTAATTATTAATGTAAAAAAACTATCTAAATAAAAAAATTATTGTCCATTTTTAATTAGGTGTATATATATACAATATAAATATATATAGGATATATATATACAATTTTTTTTTTTTTTTTATAATAATAATCTATTAATTTAATAAAACTTCTGCTGCCCTTACACATGGAGCTCCATTATTTAGTATAAATATATAATGTGGTCCGGGTGCAATTATTGTAGGATTTGGTGGTGTAGTTAAAGTTATAATATATTGACCGGCTGCATTCGCATCATAATTTACTGAAGCAATGTCTAACCCGACATATCTCTGTCCCATATTTTGTGAATGTGTTACGAAACCAAGATGTATAATTGCAGCTGTGAATGATGGTTTAGGGTCTGTACATGAGACAACTAAAATTGTTTGTTGATTGTATGCTATTGGTATTCTGTTCCCGGCAATATCAGTTCCATTAACATTAATTATCGTTGGTCGAGGTACATCAGTTAAAATATAAGGAGGTTTGAAAATTTCGGCTCGATATCTATTTTATAAAAAGAAAAAATGTTAGAATTTGTTAAATGTTAAATACGCTAATTTTTCTAAAATAATAATACATACTCTGTTGAGAATTCAAGACCTTTCTGAACGGATGCTTGTGGATTACTACCGGCGACAAAAACGTAACCATCAGGTGATAAGATTGCAACAGAGTGATACATTCTTGCAACTGTTGATGGGTTCATTTTCGCGTATGTTTTTCCAACAGGGTCGTAAAGAACAGGATTGAATGCTGGATTACTATTTACCCATAAAGGATTTGCTTTGTTGCCCTTACGGAATCCTGCAAAACCAGTTTGAGCTCCATTTAAAAATACAACTTGACCATTTGGTAATATTACGTTGTCAGGCATAACACGAGGGATTCCACCAAAATCGTCCATCACCCAAGCAGGTTGATTAGCGTTTAAAAGCATTCTACCACAAGATGCTTCAGCGGTTGAAGTAATTTCAAATGCTGCTTGACCTCCACAAACCATAATTTCAGGTGCGTAATTATTACTTGAGAATAAAGGTAACATTAAAGAAGTTCCGGTTTGTGGGTATGTACGTTGAACAGCTATTTTTGGATAGTTATATACCAGAGTACCAGTGTCTAAATCAAATAATATAGGTTGTTGATTGGAAAGCATGAATAACATATTTTTATTCTCATTATTTGGTACAATGTGCATGAATACGTAGAGGTTATAAGGGAGAGTATCAGTAAGGAATGGCATTGGTCTATCTGCATCTGGTGTTCCATCAGCAGATGATGGTGGCCATATATTATAAGTTGGATTATCAATCTCGGCTCTATTTAGACCTGTACCGCCAGTAGAACCTCCCATAATGACTACCCTGCCATCAACCAATCTATTTAAATAAAATATAATATTAAATTAGCATATAATAATAAATATAAAGGTTTCTTTTAAGACTTTAAAAATATTATACTTACGGTAACATAGTCGGGTACCATCTTTTAGACTTCATCAAACCAACCTTTTCTTCCCATTTACCAACCATTGGATCATAAAATCGTAAAGTTTGTTGACCAGCTGCAAATTGAACATTACCATTATCACCACCGGTGTGAACCAAAACTCCATTTCCCATAAAAGATCCTGCCGAACAAAAAGTGTCTGATGTAAGATCAAGAGCTGTAAGTGTGTTTTTATCGATGTCGAATAATGCAGATTCTGCTGGTTGACCATTTGATTGAAGTAATGGATTTGCTTCAACTAAAAAAGTTTGAATAATCATGTGATTAATTAGGTAGATCATGATGAAATTATTTACAACATATAATAATTGATTAGATAATAATTACGTTTATCAACGTAAATGTATTGGCCAGGACGAGGTACAAACATATGCATTGCGTTGACACCCGTTAGTCTAAGGAAGTAAAAAAAAAAAGGATTTGTTTAAATGAATGATGATGATAATAATGAATGCGTTTAATAAAGTAATTACGTTGGAAGGATAGTCCAAGTTCCTGCAGTTGCATCTCCAACTTCTTTGCCTGCTGGTGCTGCTGCTGGCGGTGGTGCTGGAGGAGCTGCGGCCTTTCCTGCTGGTGCATTTGCGTCTTTTGGAGCATCTTTTGGAGCAGCATCTTTTGGAGGAGCAGCTTTTGCTGCTGGTGCTTGTCGTCCTAGAAAATTTGCCAATAGATTTTAGCATCTATCATTGTTTTTTTTTAAAAAAAAATAAATAAATAAAAGAAGAAAAAGAAGGATAATTACTTTGGTTTTGAGATGGATAAGCCGAAGCATTATTAATATTAATTGATAAGAGGAAACCTCCAATAAGGAGGAATAATAGAAAATAACTATAATAATTTTTCATATTTATATTTATAGGAACAAAAATTTTTTTTTAAAAAAAAAATTATTTCAAAAAAAAAAAAACAGATTAAATAATTTTTTTTTCCTTGATTTTTTTTACGATAAAAGAAATTCGTGAACAATTTATATAAAAATTACCAATACCAAAAGGAAAAAAACAATGTTCCTATTTCAAAAATAGATTTTGAATTAAATATTGAATAAATCAGGTTTTTTTTTTTTTTATTTGTATTTGAAAAAAAGTCCCAAGATCCTAAAGGAAAAGAATAATAACAGTTGAAATCAATTGAAATGTATAAAATCTGTATATAATCTATTTTTATATTACGGTTTTTTAACCAATTAATTTTAATTCTGGTGATGATTAAGAGTGATAACAACTAATGGAATACTCACAAAAGTAGTTAGTATTATTTATTGAAAAGTAATTAAATACTCGGTTGGAGAGGGATTTTTTTTTTTTCATTGTAAAATGATAACAAGCGGTAAATAGCCATATATGTAGTGTAACAATGTAATTCACTTGCTCCAAGTATGCGTGCATTGTGAATTTAACATTTTAATAATTACTTCAGCCATATTTGTATTTATTAACATTTTTTTTTCCCTATAAAAAAAAAATTTTCCTTAATCGAAATTTCTAAACTCTCATTCAGGGATTTTATACGGATAAATTCATCTCCCTTTAATCCGGACCCAAAATTAAATACAATTCCCTTAAACTTATTTTGTCTTAAATCGGAGAATATGGTCCAACCCTCTTTTATTTCTAAAAATACCAAAAAAAAAATCAAGATTCTGGCATATGGATTTGCATATTAATATTATAATGGATAACTTTTTTTAGTTGATTGAGGCTTTATTATCCTTCTTTTTTTACTTGATCGAAACAATGTCACCCCCAGTCATATCACCCAAATATATTGACATATGACTGATTGAATGGGAACACAAATTTATGTATCACTCTTATTTTAACAATCAGAAATTTATTATATAATAAGATAAATTATGTAGATATGACGTTTTTGGTAAATCATTACTTTTTAAGATTCGTTTCTGAGAATCGGAGTCACATTATATTCCCTTATTTAGCATGGTACAACTTATCAAAGTTGTCCCCAATTATTTAAATGTAAATATAATTTATCATTATAGAATAATGTTTATACTTCTTAATAAACCTGTAAAACCGCTGATCTTTATTTTCTTTGTTCTAGCCATTTTAAAATGATTATTAATTATAATAAAGATCTTTTGAAAAAAATAAAATAAAAATAAAAATAAAAAAATAAAAATAAAAATAAGTTTCAAATTTTTTTATTTGGTAAAATTTTTATTTGATGAAAATTATTCAGCCGAAGTACAAAAGAAAAAAAGAAAATTTTTTTTTCTTGGACGGCAAAAAATAGGCCCAATTTTTCGGAAATATTTCGGAGTTAAATCTATCTAAAATTATTTATCTAAAACAAATTTTGTGATTTATTATTATATCATCTTTTTTTTTTATTTATCACTTTATTTTGTTTCAATATTTCAATAATATTTCAATATTTCAATATTCGTAATATTTTTTTATAAGCAATATTCTTTTTTTTATAACGTAATATAATTTACAGATATACAGTATATAATGTATGTATATCATATATACGCAATATTTGCTCAATAAAATTGTCTTGGTGTCTTGGGGAAATAACAATCCCCTTTTTTTTTTCCTATTTGATTGTTTTGTCATACCTTTTTAATGTCACACGATCTTTAGTTTATATAGACCCACCTTTTAAATGGGCTTATTTGATGTGCATAACAAACAATTGAGATTGGCCAATATTATTTGATTTTAATATCACCTTTTTATAATCCTTTTTTTATGGGCCTTGTTAAAAAAAGGCTTGGTACAAAACCTTAATACTTAAAATGTCAAACCATACCCACATTTACCTACATTACTTACTAATACATTATAAGCTTATTAATTCCGCCGATGATAAAAATAAGGCCCGTTTGTTGTTAATAAAAATTTTTAATCCGAATATTTCTCCTTCGAATCTTCTATTTTAAAAAAAAATTTCTTTTAGTACAAAAAATGTTCATTCGCTAAATTTAATCTCAAACGAATCGGGAAAATAAAAAAATAGTTTTTTTTCTTTAAATGGATTTCTTTTTATTTTTGTTTTAAAAATTGAAACAGATCCCTATAAAAATAATGCGTTTCAATAGATTGGTATTACATTGTGTGCATTATTAATAAGATATTAAAAAGATATTGAAGATATTGACTGTTTTTATCACAAACCTTTTCAGGTAAATTTTAGGAAATTTTAGGAAATTTTAAAAAAAGATAATTTACCGAAATTAAAAATATCATTTAAGGTGATAAATATATCGTGACAAATTTGTATGCATTGATTATATCATTTTTTTTTCTGATCATTAAAAAATCGTATGATAGAAATGGTTTCTTCGGAAACATAATTTGATCGATTTTATCGATTTTTAAAGTTCTTTTTGACATGTTGTAACTTTGTTTAAAACCTGTTAAACGACATATATTAGTTTATAAATAAATTGATACATTTCCCCTTTTTACATGGCATAGAAGTAAAAAAACTGGCTTTAGATTATCAAGAAAAATAGATTTTAGGTCAAACCACGTGTTTACCAATCGGAATTAAATTTAACCAATTCTTTATCATGTGTTTCTGTCGGAGTTAGGTTTAACAAGTATCTTTAATATCCTTAAGAAACAATATTATCATCAATTTTTTTGATTCATGTAACCAAAATTTATTGAAAAATTCTTGGCAAAATGTTTTTAAATATTTTTATTGGCTTTATTTTTCCCATACCAAAAATTTTTTTTAACAAATTCGTATCAAGTGTAACTAAAAAAAAAAAATATTAAAGAATTTTTTGAGTTAAGCACACAAGCAGTACAACTTAAGAAACAATTATGTTTATTATAATTAACTATATACACAATAAAAAACTTTTTTTTGATAACAAGTTAATTAATTATTCATGTGACAAAAAAAAAAATTATTATTTTTTTTTTTTTTTTTACAAAAATTTTTAATATTCCCTTGAAATTGTCATGCATTACCTTCTTTTTCTTTCATTATGATTTATTTTTAGTTCTTAATCCCGAAAAGCCCGCATGATAAAACGGCGTTTTAAATATTATTGTACGATCACTTATTTAAATTTGACATTTATAGTAAAAATAAATATATTATGAACCCTTTTCTGCGTTAAGGATATTAGACCTGCATATAAATAAGAATCATGTGAATAATTTCGCCTACTAAGAATTAAGAAATTAATTAATGCCAGGCTGAATTAATAATCCAAGCTGATCTTTTCTTTTGTCGGTCGATGCGTTTTTGGTAAATATTAAATACAAAGTCTTGAACATTAATTACAATAAAATAAGGTTGAACCTTTTTTGATGCTTGCAATGAACTTCTTTTTTTGATAACAAATAATCATTCATGTCACAAAAAAAAAAAATTTAATTTTTATAGAAATTTTTTTTAATTCCCCTTGAATTTTCTGAATTTGTCAAGCAATTGCCTTTTTTTTACTTTCATTCTAATTTATTTTTAGTTCCTAATCCCGACAAGTCCACATTGATAAAATGGTGTTTTAAATATTATTTGTTTATCATTATATCAATATTTGACAATTACGGTAAAAATAAATATATTATGAACCCTTTTGAACCCTTTTCTGATGCTGCATGAAAATCAAATAAATAAGAATCATGTGTATAATTAGAATTTCGCCTTTAATGCCAGCTGATCTTTTCTGATGCGTTTTTGGTAAATATTATTAAATACAAGTCTTGAACATTTTATTACAGTAAAATAAAGTTGAAAACCTTTCTGATGCTGCAATGAACTTTTTTTGATAACAAATAATCATTCATGTGATGAAAAAAAAAAAATTTAATTTTTACAAAATTTTTTTTTAATTTCCCCTTGATTTTCCTGAATTTGTTAAGCATTACCTTTTTTTTCTTTCATTCTAGTTTATTTTTAGCCCATAATCCCGAAAAGTCCATATGATAAAACGGCGTTTTAAATATTATTGTACGATCACTTGTTTATCATAATCAATATTTAGTAAAAATAAATATATTATGAACCCTGCAATGTTAAGGATATTACTAGTTATATATGACCCTACATGAAAATCAGAATCATGTGTACAATTAAAATTTTGCTTACTAGAAATTAAGAAATAAAGTTAATTAATGTCAGGCTGAATTAATAATTCAAGCCGATCTTTTTTTTTTGTCGTTCGATGCGTTTGGTAAGTATTCAATACAAGTCTTGGAGACATTTATTACAATAAAATAAAGTTAAACCCCTTTTGATGCTGCAAATGAACTTTTTTTGATAACAAATAATCATTCATGTGACAAAAATAAATTAATTTTTACAAATTTTTTCAACTTGAATTTCCTGAATTTGTCAAGCATTATCCTTTTTTACTTTCATTTTGATTTATCAGTTTCTAATTCCGAAAGTCCGTATTTTAATCAGTGTTTTTAAATATTATTGTTCAATCAATTGTTTATTATTATCAATATTTGAAAGTCCGTATTTTAATCAGTGTTTTTAAATATTATTGTACAATCACTTGTTTATTATTATCAATATTTAATATTTACGGCAAAAATAAAATATAATAAAGTTGTGCCTTCTTCTGATGCTGCAATGTTGAGGATATTTAGTTAAATATGTCCCCTGCATGAAAATCAAATTATTATCTCGTGTAGTCTACTAGAAATTAAGAAATTAATTAATGCCAGGCTGAATTAAAAATCCGAGCTGATCATTTTTTTTTGGTCGATGCGTTTGGTTTTTTGATGCCGTAATGAACTTTTTTGATAACAAATAATCATTCATTCATGTGACGAAAAAAAAATATTTTTTTACAAAATTATTCTTTCATCTTGAATTTCCCGAATTTGTCCATTCATTACCTTTTTTTTTACTTTCATTCTGATTTATTTTTAGTTCCTAATTCCGAAAGTCCGTATTTAAAACAATATTTTTAAATATTATTGTACAATCAATTGTTTATTATTATCAATATTTGACATTTACGACAAAAATAAAATATAATAAAATTGTGCCCTTTTTGATACTGCAATGTTACAATGTTAAGGATATTAGTTAGATTAGCCCTGTATGAAAAATCATCAATCATGTATAACAATTTTGCTATATTTAATTCCAGGCTGAATTAATAATCTGATTTACCAAACGCATAAACTGACAAAAATGGTATTCAATACAAGTCTTGACATTTACAAAGTCTTGACATTTACAGCAAAATAAGTTAACCTTTTTGATGCTGCAATTAACTTTTTTGATAACAAATAATCATTCATGACTTCATATGACAAAAAAAAAAAAGGTGATTTTTCTTTTCCCTTATTTGTCATGTCATTAATATTATTTATTGTACAATCACTTGTTTATCTACGGTAAAAATAAAGTTGAACCCGATATGATATTAATTATATATGTTCCTGCATGTCTCTGCATGAAACTCAAATCATTCATAAAATAAAGTACAATTTTGGTATATCATTTAATTTTGTCTACTGGTGCCAGGCTGAATTAATAAACCGAGCTGATCTTTTTTTTTGTCGGTCGATAGCGTTTGGTACTTTGTTTAATATTCATCAATACAAATCTTAACATTTATAGTAAAATAAAAATATACCTTTTCAATGTTAAGGATATTAGTTATATATGTCACTGCATGAAAATTAAAAAATCATCAAATAAGAATCATGTGATACTAGAAATTTAATCCGAGCTGATCTTTTTTTAGTCGTTAATATTAATTAAACTAATGATATAACAATCTAGCATACATAACAAAGTTTATGCAGTGGTAAATTAGTACCAATTTTTAATATACATAAAAAACAATACTCTAAATAAATGTCGATATTGTCGGTATTTAAATAAATTTATAAATTTTTAGTTTTTTTTATTGATCTATTTTATTAACCCTATAAAAAATTTTCAGTAAAATGAACACGAGTCTGAGTTTCTTCGGAATAAAAACTAGAAAAATGATCATTTATCGAAGTTTTTCCAGAATTTTTTTTTTATAGGGTAATACTAAAATACGAACGATTTATTGTTGATAATAATGTTATTGGTTTGCTACTTGAAATAAAATATTAATTTATTAAGTAAGGGGTCCAATGTAGAGTTGGGTTGCGCAATGCCACAACGTATATTATAACGACAACATTTTTTAATATATGATTAGAAGAAATTAGCCTTGTGTATTAGTTGACAATATGCGTTACAACATTTTAAACATTGTATACCGAAACCCTATACGTCGGATTATTTTTACAGTGCTGTAACCCGTATTAAAATGTCGTGGATCGTGAAAATGCCGTAATGCAGTGTCGATAAAGATCTAAAAGAAAGATAAAGAAATGAATCTAATATCGTTTCTTAAGTCCGCAAAAACTGCCCCTAGAAATGTTGTGCATCATGAACGTTATTAAATTATTTTTTTTTAGGAAAAAAATATCTTATCGGTTATTTAGTATTTACGGTATTGCGGCATTTACGATTTTACGGCACTTTATTAAGGTTACGGAATTAGCTGAAATGCCGTAATCGGGGAATTTCGACGGCACCTTTGCAGTTCGGATGATACTTTAGCCGTCCAATAGCTGCAATGTAAGATCATGCATTTTAATCTACTCACCAGTAATATTTTATGTAATGCGTCAAAAATATCGAAAACAGATTCAAGTAAATAAGATTATGCATTTAATAACTCATAATATAATGGAAGAATGTTTTTGTTCAATAATACAATTATTCAAAAATATAAACAATGCCCGACATTGCTGTATCATATGCTGGTATCTGTCTGTTTACTATATATCTATAATCTTTCATTATCTTATATGCAGATATCTTAGAAGTATTATTAAAATTAACTGAAATTGATAAAATTAAACATTAGAAGTAACTTGTCAATATGTTATATATTATTAAAGGTTGGTTGCCATAAGTAACGATTATTATATCAAATTACAACCTTTAGCAGTTGTAATATTATAAACGTAAGCTGTAAATTGGCTGTAAATACTACACTATTGTGCTTAGCTAAAAGATGGCAATTCTGATTTACAACCATTATATTTACTTGACTTTTGGACTTACAATTATTTACAGAAACCAACACTATTATATATCACCTTTTTTTCCAATAATAATTTTATTAAGTATATTAAGTATATTAAAATACTTTTTTAAACTCTAAATAATTTTTTTTTTTTTAATTGAATGGATAAGTATCATAGTGATTCATATTTTTTATAATTATAAATAACTTTACTAATTTATTTATTATAAGATTATTTTAACAAAAAGGATGAATAGAATTATAAAATATATAATTCTAATTTATAGTATTTTCATAATTATTTTGAAATTATATTTACATTGTTTATTAATAAAAGAAATGATTTTTTTTTAAAAAAAAAATTCTGTTAAAAATAAAAATTACAGTATAATGGATTGAAAAGAGTTGACAAGTGTACCAAAAGTTTTAGCATGCATCAAAAGATGCATATTAATATGTATAATTGGTAAATTAACAAAACTTGCAAAAACCTATAAAAAAATAAAATATTGTTAATTATTGAATTATTCCATATTCTGAATTTCAAATTTATAATTATACCTTTGAAAGAATTAAAAACTCTTCTTTAAGATATAGCTGTAATTCCTCATAGCTATCTAATATAAATTCCTTATTAAAAACTGCTTTCATAATCTTTGCAACTTGTAGTATCTAATAAGATATAATAGCTTTTAGTACTAAGCTAATTCAAGCTACATCAATCCTTTGTTGAATAGTGGCTGTTTTATTATTTTTGAGGCTTGATTCCTTTAAAAATTGATTTAATAAAAATGGCATAATCATAGCTAGTCTAAGAAGATCAGACATCATAAAGCTATTGTAATAACTAATTGGATTTGGTAGATGAAACCACTTTTTTGGAATTTCAAAATTTTTCCAAATTTTAACAAAATTATTCTCTCCTTCTTGTGAAAATAATTCACAGGTTAGTTTTAGTAGCCGCCCAATTTTTCCTATGATAATATGATAAATATCTTGTAGCATCTGTAAATATCTTTTATATTTTAATTTATCCAAAATACTAGGTAATGATCTTAAGCCATATTCTATACAAAGTTGTCCTCTTTTTGAACTTACAGATTCTTGAAAAATTTTTGAAATTTCTTCATCTGTGATATGATGATAATGTAATGTTGTCATACTATCCTGATTATAGATACTCAATAATTCCTTTTTAGTTGTACAAGTATAGCAATCTTTATTTGCAATATGTTTAAATTGATTTTTAAATTTAAATTATGAAAATAAATTATTAAGATTAATAATTAAATTGAAAAATACCTCAGTACTTCTGTCATATCTAAGGGTGCAAACTTAATGACATGACATAACTCTTAGTTAAGTCACGTCATAGACGTAACTAGGACGTAACTCTAAGAAAAGTATAAGTTTGCATCAAAGTGGTTTAATTACTAATTATTTTATAATAAAGTGTATAGATGTAATATTATATAATGTAACTTAAGTTAAGTCACGTTATAGACATAACTAGGACGTAATCCTAAAGAAGAATTAAGTTTGTATCTCTAGTCATATCATTACCTTAAGGTAAATCTGCTGTAATAAGACCCAACCTGGCAATAACCCATGCATCTTGTCTTTAAACAGTCATAATTTTTCCTTTCTCAAATTTTTTTATTTTTGAAACAAATAGTACCATAAATTCATTAAAATTTTTACCAAATAGAATTTCTCAAATTTTTTTATTTTTGAAACAAATAGTACCATAAATTCATTAAAATTTTTACCAAATAGAATTTCTCAAATTTTTTTATTTTTGAAACAAATAGTACTATAAATTCATTAAAATTTTCGCCAAATAGAATAAATCCAAGAACAAAATAGTTTTTAATTAGCTTTCTTTGATGTGTTGGCATGTTACCAAACTGTATATAGACGCCACCTAAGAATGGTATACATTTCTAAATATACCAAAATTATCATAGTAAAGATCTAAAAACAGCTTATAAACTGGCATAAATGATGGTGGATTTCTGACAGAAATGTAATCTGAAGGATATTGATATGAAAGCTTTGCATTATGAATGTATCAATGGTCATTACATTTATAAATTATTTCAGTAATTTGTAATGAACCTTCTGGAATAATTTGGTCAGTGTTGATACATTATCATTATAGTTATTTTCTCTAAAATTTGAAAGGTCATTATATATGGTTATAAATGGTTTGTTCTAAAACTATACTTTTTCAGTTAAAGAACAACGTCATTTTGATAGCCTTTTAGATTTCCAGATAAATCATCATAATTTAAAATTAGTTGAACTTTTAACTCATAGTTTCCATTTTTATTTTCATAATTGCTCTCAACCTTTCAAGTTTTTGAAAACCATTATCATGATAGTAGACAAAATTACCAGATTGATATATTATTATTTATTAAAATAAATATTTAATGTTAACAAATCATAATTATATCAAAGTATATTATTCTATTACCTTCTGATATTATTATTTCATGTTGTCCAAAAAGTGGTGATTCCTCTATAATGTTTTATGCCAATATTCTGATTTTGTTTCAAAATTAACATCAGGTCCAAAATACATATGCTTCATCAGCATTGAATTGTTGAAAATACATCATATAATATTATTAATTGAAAATTAATAAAACCTTGCGAAATTGATAGGGATTTTTTTGGTAAAATTTGAATAGGCTTTATTATTATTGGTAGGAAAGGAAGATGTTTTCTCTATGATTAGAATTTACAGATATTTTTTATTATATGAGTAGGTTCAAATTGAAGATTATAAATAATATCAACAAGGTCTTTATATACTTTTATAAAAACATTATGCTTCTAAAGCTAACAAAATAGTGCCGTAGTTGTATAATTATCAATGTACAATGCAAATTCACTATTGCAGGACAGTATCTTGTCTTCATTCAAAGCTTTAATAATTTGATGTATTGCTTTCTCTTCGTTGTCATTACGTTCCTCTTCATCATTGTTATGTTCTTCTTTTTCTTCATCGTTACCTTTCTCTTTATTATTAGTATCTTCATTATCATCATCTTCCTCCTCATCCTTATTGTATTCATTGTCATTTTCTTTTTCCTCTTCATTATCAAATAATTGATCATCATCTTTCATCTCATTATTGTAATACTAAGGACCAATTGATTCATATTCATTATCATTATCATTAATATTCTGAAAATTTAAATCATTATCTTCGTAATTATACTGAAAGTTCATATTATCATTATTATTATCAGGTAAATGTACAGGTAAACATATTACTATTCTCTTATTAAAAGTTGTTGTCTTATAAGGATTGCTATAAGAAAACTGATTTTAAATTTAAATCAGTTTTATTATTTATTTTTAAAAAAAATGATTAATTTTAAAGGAAATCATCTTCTTATTGTAATTTAATAAAAAAAGTTTTTTGAATTGATAAAAAAAAAGATTGTAATAAAAATATTTGACTAATCTGATAAATATTAAAAAATCAATATAATCAATAATCTTTTGATTTGATCATTAAAAAAAAAGTAAAATTTTCATAACTGATAATTTTTTATAAAAATTTTGCAATAAAATACTGTATCATCTTTTTTATAAAATAATAAAATTATAAAAATAGCTGTTATTATGAGTATATTTTGTTTAATAAAATCAAATTTAATGATTCAAAATTTGAAACAGAATTTGAAAATACAGTTTTCAGAATGGAATCACAATTTTATGAAAAATTTAAATGGAAAGTACTTTATAATATACACAAATAGTTCCATTTAAATGATGCCAATTCTTTAATAAAAATGACATTGTACATATGTTTAAAAAATTTATATTCATTAAAGTAAATAATATTTAATATCTGAGAATATTTTGTGAAATACTGGATACTATATAAAGGGAATACAATATGTAAGCTTAAATTATTAGAATTAAAAAGGGGTATTAATCAAGTAAAATTTTTATATTTGATATAGTATACAAAACTAGATAGGAAATTAATTAGTAAAAAGTCATAGGTATCTTAGTATTTTAGATGTATAGAGAAGTTCATAATTAAGTTTAAGAGAGAACTCTTAAATCACATGATAATAATGACATAATAATGAAATTTAAAAAGATAGAAGAATTCTTATAAAAAAAAGAAAAAATCCAGAATTTTAATTTTCAGAAGCAATTTTTTTAGAAATTTTTAGTAATTATTGCTCATATAATTATTTTATCCATAAATTATTGAATTTTATTTTTATGAATAAAACATGAAATTATCAAAAACAAATTATTGAATTTTTAATTAATATAATATTTTTATTTTATTTTACTTCAAAATTATATTTATTTCTGAAAATTAATTGATAAATCATGATTTTAGGTAAGAAAGTATTTTATTTTATTAATATGTTTGGATATGAATATGGAAATGAGTACATCTTTTGAGGGAATAGTCATGATAACAAAATGGAAAAGAAATAAGAAATATGGAAATAAGTACATTTTTTGAAGAATAATCATGATAAAGTAGTATATAAATCCCAGTTCTGGCTCACTTTCCTGAAATAATAAATCAACTGTAAATAGTAATCTGCAAATTCACATACATTATTATTTTTTTCAAAAAAAAAGTTTTTATTATTAAAAAAAAAAATTAAAATATTATTAAGAAAAAATTCATTTTGAAAGTCATTTTTCCTTTTTTAATTTTTTGATAAAAATTTTGGATAAAAAAGAAATATAAAGATAAAATAAATAAGAAAATTTCTAAGTTTACACGGGTGTTTGTACACGGGTCATATAAATATAATTTTTAATAGACTAATTTTTTGTTTTTTAATTTGAAATTGAATGCTACCGACATTATACTCTTTTACTTTTTATTCTTATTATATTACAGATAAATATATGTATTTTCACCTGCTCTGCAAGTTTACTTAAGGCATTAAAGGAGGTTTTGAATGCCGTTTTTAATCTACTAATATGACCCGTGTTTAAACACCCCGTGTACAAATAGAAATTGCCAATAAATAAATACATTTTCTTTTATATTTTTATAATTTTTTTTTCAACAAAAAAATAAATCAAAAAGCAGTTGAGACCATATACTACTTCTACTACTTTTTATATTACTTTTTATTAAGAATTATAAAAATTATTAAAATCCAAAGCCAATACAATATAAAAATGATAATTAAAAAAGGAATATTGCTTGAAAGTGTTATAACAATATTTTTATTAGTAATGTGAAATACTTCCAATTCATCTATTTCAAACCTTACTTTATCAATTATTTTTTTCTTAAAAGAGTGTTGTTCACTAGTGCAATAAATACCATTAATAGATAAATCTGATGTACCAAATAGAATGTGTCTCTCATTTGATATTTTTGACATAGCTCCTTCTTTATGATAACTTATAATTGGATTGACCCTATTAGTTAAAGAAAAAATAAAATATCGAGATAGAAAATCTCTAAACAATTTAAACAGGATATATTCACTGTAACTAATATCCCATCCAAATGGATTGTATACACCAATAATTTCTCCTGAATTACGAACTTTAATTACAATAACAACTCTCTTATATTTGTATAAATTATCATATTTGTCAAATCCATCAATACTACTACGATAGACACATTCAAATTTGAAATGTATATTTTTAAATTGAAACACATGTTTTTTTCCTTTCCCTCCATTGATCCAAGTTGCAATCAATGCTACATCTTTCGCATTAATGATGTTAGAATCAAATGGACAAGCTGATTCTCTTGGTGGTAATATATTATCATTAGATGGAATTCTCATTAAAGGATTAGAATCTTTGAAATGTTGCATAATTTCATCATCAAGTCCATTTGGAAGGATATCTTTAAATTCATTTTTGACTTCCGTATAATCACCAAGTGACATTTGATAAAATCGAATATGAGGAATGCAATTTCGTATAGTTTTTTCCAAATTCATAAAATCAATTGGGGTCCACTTTCTTGTATCTATAACGAAATCTAAAATTGATCTATCTTTATCAAAAATTAAAATTGGTGAAAATGATTTTTTATTTAAAGTTAGACCAGTATTCACAATTCCCCATTTGACCAAATAATAAAAAATGTTAATTTCATTCAATTCAAGATCATTACGTTTTAAAAGTCGAATAAGAAATCCTTCATTAAGTTGCGGAAAATCTTTACAATTAAATATGATTATTGGATCTGTGCATGCTAACTTTAATACTTGTTCTTCTAATTGTTTAAGTTGTCTCTGTTCACTAATGATAAAGAAATCTTTAGGAAGCTTCCAAGCCGAATCATTTTCTTTGAAATAATTTTCAAGATGTTCTACAACGTTTTGCAATTGTAAATCATAAGCTGCGATTATAACGTAAAGGCATTTCACATTTTTCTTCACTGTTAACTTTCCTGAATAAATATATCTAAATAATTTTAAGAAATTAAGATCGAAGGTTTTTATCAAATTTATGATGCTGCTATAATTATCAAGTTCTACTTACTTTAAAAGAATGTTAAATATTGAGGGTGAAATATTAGGTTTTTCTAAAATAAAACATCCGGATTCTTTTGTTTGATTGGATAAAGCGTTTTGAAAATGAATTGATCTAGTAGATAATATAGTAGAATGTGCACTGAATTCTTTAATATCATTTTCCTTCCCAACTTTAATTTTTACATCAAAAGTTTTATTATAAAGCAAATACGTTAAGTCTTCAAATATATCAGTTGAAATGTTAAATTCCATTGTTATAAAAATCAATTTAGAGGTGATTGGATCGGCACAGTGTTATAGAGTCGTAATTTTAATAAAGTGTTTAATAAAATTGTATTTTTATGTGTTAAATCTCTTGCTATTTAACTCAATTTGATTTTGAATTCCCAAAATTTAATATAACCATAATACTTTGTTCTATTTTTGCAGATCATTATTAAATATGCAACGAAAATAAATGAAATTTCGAATTTGGCATTAATTAGGCTGAGAATTTTTTAAAATTTGTATTTTTTTGGGAATCCATTTACATATATAAATAATCGCGTCAGTAAAAATAAATAAGATTTTAAATTTGGCTTCATTTGCAATATCTCTTGGATTCTTTAAGAAAAAAAGAAAAAAAATTTTTACGCCTTTTGTCCAACATGAATTGTTTTTAGCTTAAAAGTGAGTGAAAAAAAAGTGATTGTGGGTACTCTAAATGGGACAGCAAATTTAGGGAGAGAAACTCTAAAAGTATGACGCGAAAATTATGTTAACCCTTGTTTAACCCTTGTTCTACTTGTTTCTATTAGCTTTTCCAGACCATTCCGATTATTAATTCTTTCCGGGCATGACGAATTGCGATAGCATTCAAACTAAGACGATTGAATTTAAGAGTTAGTTACTGTACATGTTATAAAGCATCTCTTATCGAGTAAATTGTTGCATTGTCATTGAAATTATAATCATGGCTTATAAATTAATTATTGAATACTGAAAAACACTGCCACAACTAATAAATAAATTTATTTTATTTAAAATATTGTAATCCGATGTTTTTCGATATTTTTATTAGTTGTATTCAATCTGATTTATGTTTTATTTATCAGATTTATTAGAAATATTATTTTATTATTTTGTGTTTTGTTTTACTATTTTTCTTCAAATAATAAAAATACTATCATAAAATTATTCTTGTGAAAAAAATTTGCTTTACATTTGGCAAATTTCGAAAATATGAGCGCATTACAGTAGAAAGGAAATTTTTTAAATTAAATTAATAAACTATTACGAGTTAGATTCCGATAATTTTATTCTCTTAACTTTTTTAATTTACACATTCTCGATTGTTTTAAAGTCAAAATGTTAGAAACCTCAATAGCTAATTGAATAAATAAATAAATTAGATATTGCGACAATTATCATCAACATTTTAACCTTACTCTACCAAAAGGAAAATATTCTTCATCATATACCATCAAAGCAAGTTTAAAGCCTGAAAATATAAATAACTATTAACAAATTTTTCTATCAATTTAGAACAAAAATTTTAATTATTTACCATAAATATGAACCATGATACGCAAAAGATTTTTAATCCTATTAACATTATCCTCAGAAATAAACTTGTTATGCCAGCTTTCAATATTTAACCAAAAATTTTGGCTAACAATTCTCATACAGCGTATTAGTTTTCTTCTATCAACGTGCGCTTTTCTTAACTTGTTCATCCTTATTTAAGATAAGGACAGGGGAACATTAACAGCAATAGAAAGGGCAACATTGAGATATTCTATGTCAAGATTAATTGACCTTTCAGCCCTTACCTCTTTTCTTGATCAATACTTAATTATTCAATATTATTTTATCGCATTTTTGATTTTCTTTCAAAAAAAAACCAGGAAGCAAATTTTTGTAGTAAAAGTTCTCTCAAAGATATCCAATTGAATTAATAGAAGAAATTGATTTAAAACAATTTAATGTTATTACTTAATACAAAAAAAAAAATTTTTATTATATAAAATGTATATCTTACTAAATATTGAACATAAAGTATTTGTCAATAACGATTTAATATAAAGGAGTATAAAAATTAAAAACTTAATACATCATATTGACTAATTGGATCACAATAAAATAAGACTTATTCAAGTTATCATCCAAATCATCGGTATATTAACATAAGTCTCCTTTAAGCATTTATCTATAAAAGTCCAAAACTCATCATCTACTTTAAACCTATTATTCGATTCAATATAAGATAATAAAGATAAATCGTCGCCAAAATCTCAATTTGCTTGTCGTAATAATAAGCTCAAGGATCGTAAAAATCCATCATAAAGATCATCGTAAGCTATATTGCGAATTTTTGTTTTGAATTCAATAAAAAAATTATAAAATTTCAAAAAATCAAAAAAAAAGAAACAATGTTATTATGTGCAATCCTCTGAAATAATCAATTTTTGATTCTTCTTATATGATGAATCTTACCTTGATCTGATTGTGAAAAAGCGAGCAAATGTTCATGACAAAAAATGATATGTACCGAAACGCATTCCTCGTACTCCTATATCAGAAAATCAAATAAAAAAACTAAGTTATTAAGAGCAATGTTAAGAAATAACCGATTTTTGATTAATATTATATGATGCATCTTACCTGATCATGAATGTGAAAACGCGCGCAAATGTTCATGACAGAATATGATTGGTAATATAACAGTTTCTAAGTACTCCTCTATCAGAAATCAAAAAAAGAAACCATGTTATTATGTGTAATCCCCTGAAACAACCAATTTTAGATTCTACTTATATGAAAAATCATACCTGGTCGGATTGTGAAAAAGCGAGCAAATGTTCATGACAAAAAATGATTTGTAACAAACCGCTTTCAACGTAGTTCTCTATCGGAAAATCAAAAAAAAAACCTTATCATTATGTGCGATGTTAAGAAATAGCCGATTTTTGATTAATATTATAGATGCATCTTACCTGATCTGATTGTGAAAAAGCGAGCAAATGTTCATGACAACAATGTTTTGTAACAAAACGCTTTCAACGTACTTTTCTAGCAGAAAATAAAAAAAAACCCTTGCCATTTTGAGCAATTTTAAAAAATACTGAACCGATTTTTGATTAATATTATGTGATGCATCTTACCTGATCATGAATGTGAAAACGCGCGCAAATGTTCATGCCAGATTATGATTGGTAACATAACAGTTTCTAAGTACTCCTTTATCAGAAAATCAAAAAAAAACCATATTATTATGTGCAATGTTCTGAAATATCCGATTTTTTTGTTGATAATTCTTACCAGATCTTGAATTTGAAAACGCGCGCAAATGTTCATGACAAAATATGATTGATAGCAAACCAAATTACACGTACTCCTCTATCAGAAATCAAAAAATAAAACCATGTTACTATGTACAATGTTCATAAAATTGATAAATATTAAGTCCGAATTTAATAATCTTTGATAATTTATCAATTACTTACTATTTACAGTATAAATACACATTATTAAAGTACTCGAGCAAACGTCCATGTCCTAATTAGGATAATTGTTATTACATCATTCCTTGGTATTCTATCGGAGAAGATCATAAAAGTTGATAAGTATTAAGTCCGAATTTAACAAACATCCATGTCTCAATTAGAAGTTAAGTATTATGTCCGAATTTAAGAAACTTTGATAAATCATAAATTGCTTATAATTTACAATATATATACCTATGATTAAAGAACTCGAACAAACGTCCATGTCATAATTAGAATAATTGTTATTACATCATTCCTTGGTTTTCAATCGGAACAACAAATGCCATTGCTGCCTTTCGCGAACATTTCCAAAAGCCACAATGAGTAACTTCTAAAATAACACTACTACCCTGACTTTGCTGAAATAATAAGATATCCAGCTTTGCCATATGATGAAGAAGCGCTTCTTTGGTGGCAAGCCCACTCTAATGGAACTTTTCTTGCAATAGGTGAATATTTATAATCCGAGACAAAACAGCCTGCAAGTTGAAATTATCATCATCCAAAAATTTTAGTCACGCCTTAAATTAATTTGGGACGAGTTTAAGATGCAATTACGTCAAAATATGCATGATTATGTATGACAAAAATGTTCCTGATGTTGCCACTTTCGTGGGTACGCTGGGGTAATCAGCATAAGCATCTTTACGCGCAGAATTCTTGGCAGTATCGTAGCGCAGAAGAAATTAAGCAATCAATTTCTTGTATATAAAGCGGAATGGAATATTGTGAAAATGAAGTATATAAGTATTAAAATATGAATTGGAAATATTATTTTTTTACCTCAGTTGCTAATACTCCCGTAACTATACTACAAGTTCGAGGAATAATATTTTATATATTATGTAGAGATGAATATAGACAAAAATTCTGTAAATATGGGTGGGATATTTTATTTCGAAAATCTAGTGTTGAAAAAGCAGGAAATCTCGTAGTTAGTTATAGAGATAGAAATAAATTATAAATATTTTTCAAAAATGCGAAAGAGCAAAGAAATAACTTGATGCCGGGACTCGCATTAAATGGCCCAGGATCCGCGTACTCCCTCCCTCTTTGATAGCATCATATATTTCATCGCTACCTCTATCTGAAAAATCAGTAATAATAGTTGCATCGAAAATTTGTCACGTGATATTTTTTATCTATTTGTACTACTTCCAAATAAATAATTTGTAATTAGTAATTTGATTTATGCGATAAAATCATTCTGCAAAAAAAATCTAAACGATCACACTTAAAAATGGCCTCGAGATCTAGCGATACCGAAGCCTACTCCTCAGTCTGATTTCCGGTCTGCTTCCACTATCGACTCTTCAACATCCTCACAAACTATACAAGAGGAAAAACAGAAAAGGAAAAGGATCCAACTTCTTTCTAAGGATATTAATTCAACCAGGGAACGTTTGCTCGCTTTACCACAATTAGAAGAGCATGGTGAATACACGGGATCATGCGAAATAATTTTAAATGAAAATGTTTCGCTCGAAGAATATCTCGATTATCGTGACAAGAACCCAAGTTTTCCAGTTCGTATATACTTGCATGATGGAAAAATCAAGGCATATGAAATACCTTTAGCTCCCCATTCAATGGTATCAGCAGTGATGTTCAGTTGGAATAATCAGGAATTGGAATATGGATATGATACAAATATGATTGTAGGGCAAAATAGTGTGAAGGAGCCTGACTCTTGGGTTCGGCCAGAAGACCGTCCTCATTTAAAGCAATGGACTGATTTTGTGGGCATATCCAACGATGATAATTGAAGTTGGTTACACACAGAGCCTTCCTGACTTGCATCAAAAAGTGGCACTTTACTTTTCTCAAGCAACATCAATTCAGATCGTGCTGGTTATTAAAATATTTGATCTACGTGTAGATAATACCTTTGTACTAATTGCCGCTTTATATCTTCGTACAAATCAAAATCCTCTGACCCCGGTCAATGTCATATCTTTTGGGACAGCAGATCCTGCGCAACCAACCGTGAACTATATCATTAATATGAATGTTCCTCCTAATAACTTTATTGGTGTTGGACGCACCGTAAATGGTGTTAATTGTCCTCCTTGCAATATGGCCGGTATTCCAATGTACCAAATGAACATTCCTGCAGCAGAGCTTTTCGATAGAGATCCTAATGGCATTCCCGCGGTTGCGGCTGGAGGATTTAACCTGGATCTCTGGGAGCTTCTAGTTAAAGCACGAAAAGGATTCAATGTATAAAATTTTATAAATGAGTATTTAGGGTTGTTTGACGAAAAATTTATATAGTAATAAAGTTTTTTATTGCAATTGTAGCATGTTAGCATATTTTATTAGAATTTATTATACAAATTCATCAAATTCATCAGTAGAGCATTAAATTTTTAGCTTTAATTCTAATTTTCGATAAAAAGGACAATACACAGATTAGCTTAGAGATATGCATTAAAATAAACAATAAATTCGATATGATAAGAATCTTCACAGTATTTACCCACATTTCGGGCTTGTGTTTTATTCTGTATGCATGAAATAAGTTCCAGATAGCAACTAAAATATAATTTTTTTCACCAATGGAAAGAGCACCGTAAGTCCGTAACAAAAGTTACAGTCACGTGATATTTTGATTGTACTACAAATCAAAATGTCTAATCAACATCCCTCCTATTCATTACCAATATTAATTTTCGTTTACTTTTATTATTTTTTATATTTTTATAATGCAATAACTTTAAAATAATTAATAAAATACACCAAATTTTAAAGTAATTTTATAAGACTACACATATTTTTATTGATATATTATTACTAGATAGGTTTTATTAAACGTGTACATATTAATAAAGGAGCTACTCTAAGAACATTGTATTCTCGTTATGATCCTTCCAAGTGCGTGGAAAAGTTATTCTTCTTGAATATGATTTAATATCATCAACTACCTTTTCATTTCTGAAAAATTTTTAACTACTGAATTGGCCCAGTGATAATTTTTTGCTTGGTGTTGTTCTATAACTATTTTTTTAGCTTCATCTAAATAAGTTTCCAGTTCGGCAAAAATTAATTCACCATCTTTTATTTCTTCATTATTTTGTATGCTGCCATTATTGATAACTAAATCATTTGTAACATCACGTAAAGCTTATAAATAAAAAAAAAATGAAAAAATTAGCAATATTATAATTATAAAATCAATAAAATCTTTTGAAAATTACCATTTGAGTTTGAAAATGCTACACATATTTTATTCTTTTGTGAATTGTCACCATTTTCTTGATCCCTTTTTTCATATTTCAAGAATGGATAAACTCCTTGTCGTTTCACCTGTAAAAAATGACAAATCATTTCCCAAACCTTTCTGTAATAGTACAAGGTGATAACACATAGGCCACTGAATTAAAAGAAATGCATGACAGCTACAAATCCATTTTTCAGTATTTGTTACGTGAACATCTTCTTTTTCTTCATGTTTTTCAAGTTTTCTCCACTCTCTTTTAAAGTCTTTTTTCCATGAAGGCTTTTCTCTTCCTTTTAAAATTGAATTGGCGTTGTTGATGATGTGGAATTAATCGTTTAATAATGATAAAGACTACCAAATCTAGTCTAGGACGAAAAAATTTGGGCAAAAAAATCCCGTTTAATCACTTTCCAATGGGACCCAATTAACATAGTTGTTTGAATAAGCATAGTTCATTTGAATTTGCTGCGCAAGCCTATAGAATCCAATGATCCTTTTGATACCAATTCGTCCACATATACATACCTAAGATCATGTTTAATACAAAATCATACATTTCTTTAACAGATATAACCCAAATCTCATTAGTTGAAAAATATTCATTATTTTCATTTGGAATTAAAGGATGAAGATGAAGATGCCTTGTAATTAATTTTAATATATCTTCTCGCAAATTTTTTGAACGGAATTCAAAGGGGTTTCTATTTTTTGCGTATGTTTGATTAGATGATGCGTTTATATTAACTGTTTTTTAATTAATATTCTCATTATTCTCGTGCATTATTGTGGCTTGAAAAAATTTTTTTGTGGCTTAGTATTATGTTTGGATTAAACATGTGTAGCATATTTATATGTAACCATCGATCCTTTATTACATAATGCAGAGATTTTTAATAATAAAGCAATTTTTAATCTAATTTTTTTATTTTTTTTTTCATTATTAAAACATGTTGGCAGAATTTAGAACAAAACGAGAAACTGAGAGAGTTCGAGTTGAAGATAAATATCAAGTAATAGGATTTATTAGTTCAGGAACTTACGGAAGAGTTTATAAGGCCAAGGCAAAAAAGACTGTGAAAAGGTTTGATAAAACATTATTCGTCTCAATTATATTACTTGAAGTGAATTTTTCAAATTTAAATCTTTTTTCATAGTGCTGATGGAGAAGAAAAGGAACTTGTATATGCAATAAAAAAGTTTAAACCAGATAAGGAAGGAGATACACATACGTATACTGGAATATCACAGTCCGCATGTCGAGAAATATCGGTACTTTCAACTTAATATATCATCTTTTATTTATATTAAGCTCAATTTTTTGAATGAATTATTTATCAAGTTATTAATTTAATTTAGTTATGTAGAGAGCTTCAACATCAAAATATTATTTCATTGCAAGAAGTATTATTAGAGGACAATTCGATTCATATGGTGTTTGAATACGCCGAACATGATTTTCTTGTAAATAATTAATTAAACCGTATTTTATAATTCTTGTTTTAAAATTACAATTATTATATTAATTAATTTTTTATTAGCAAATTATTCATCATCATAGCCAACAAGAAAGAAAACCAATTCCAGAATTTACCATAAAGTCATTTTTATGGCAATTGCTTAATGGAGTAGCATATCTCCATGCAAATTGGGTTCTGCATAGAGATTTGAAACCTGCAAATATTTTAGTGACTGCTGATGGTGTTGTGAAGATTGGTACTGTAAAATATTATTTATATATGTATTAAATAGACAAATTAAAGTTTAATATTAAATTTCATTGGATAAATCAGGAGATTTGGGTTTAGCAAGAATTTATGAACGTCCATTGCAGCCGTTATTTAATGGTGACAAAGTTGTCGTAACTATATGGTACAGAGCTCCAGAACTTTTACTGGGATCAAGACATTATACTAAAGCTATAGGTAAGATTTTTATTTATTCCTCGTATATAATGAATAATTATTTATTAATAGTTTTTGATTAATAGATATATGGGCAGTTGGGTGTATTTTTGCCGAGCTTTTGACATTGAGACCTATTTTTAAAGGTGAAGAAGCAAAAATGGATAACAAAAAGAATGTCCCGTTTCAGAAAAATCAATTGAATAAGATTTTTGACGTTTTGGGAAAACCAACAAGTATGTGATTTTCAAAATTACATATTGATTTCTTTACTTTGATTAGTTAACTAACTGGAAGTTTTATTCTTTGAATATAGAGGAACAGTGGGCTACCATAGAACAACAGCCAGAGTATCCTAATTTGGCTAGTTTTAGATCGTAAGTACCGATTTCAAGTTACGCTTTCTAATTTTCTGGTATTAACACAACTTTATTTACAAATTAGATCACCAAATCGACTTCGTGAATTTTATAATAACTCATGTTCGTCAAATTCGGATGCAGGTTTTGCACTTTTATCGGCTATGTTGGAATATGATCCAGTTAAGCGTATTACTGCAGAAGATGCATTACTTCATCCATATTTTAGTGAAGAACCTAAACCGTCTATGGAGTAAGTAATTTTTTTTTTTTTTGATCCTCTACTTAAGGTAAAATTTGTTCTAATAATTTTCACGGAATAGTTCATTTGAAGGACAGCATTATCAATACCCATTACGAGCTGTTAAGAGTGAAGATAATGATATGAAGGTGCCACCAACAGCGAATTCGGCCGTGCAAGGACAGGGAGGAACAACACATGGAGGAACGAGGGGAAAACATGGTCATAGTGGAAAGGATGAAGGAAGACCAAGCAAGAGGGGGAGGGTATAATTATTATTTAAATTATTATGTATACTGTATTTAGTTTATTAATAGAGATAGAATGTTTATTTATATTATTTGTATGTGCAACTTTAAGTCGTATTTATTATTGATAATAAATATTTATTGATCCTTTTAATTTATAGGAAGTACAAAAAAAGTCGGGCAAATAAAAGTTAAAATTTTTACAAATTATGTTAAACCAATGGTTATAAATTCTTAGCATATAACGATTGGGTTTTTTTGTAAGTTTCTAGTTATTTCGAATTATTTTACACAAACTTGAGTGAATTTATCATATTCTTGTAATAAATCTAAAGGCTTGACTTGACACAGCAATTGAAACTTTCCATAACATTCCATTAAGTGTTTACAAAAAAACAATTTTTAAAATTTTTTAATAATTACTTTTTCGATAAAGATGAAAATCAATACCTATACCAACAGTCTTTTGGAATATATCAAAATTTCCTGGTAAATCTTTCTAATTTTTACTTACCATAACTTGAATCCAAGTTCATACTTTACATGCTCTCAATATTTCACATTGAACTCGCGTGAATGTTATGAATCAAAAAGTTTCATATTACGCTGAATGAATTCTGATTTGTTTGGAAGTAATTGATTCCTTAACTAATGATTCGTCTTAAATTTGAATTTATTCATTTAAAAAAATTTGGAAATAATTATATAAATGATTTAATATCAAATATACAGTATATCTTTAATTGTAAATTACTCGATATTATTCGAAAAAATGTAATCGATCCATTTCAAAGAAATATTTTAGATTGCTCTTGATTTCAAAGCAATTTGCATTTTCTTGTGACGATTATGACTGGATTTTGAGTTTCTTCAATTATAAAAATTTATATTACTAATTTTTTCATAACAATTACGCCTAATAATATATGATACATTTTTTTCATTAATCGTTTTTTATTGAAATAAAATATTAATATATAATAAATAACTTGCGACAGTTATTGTATAATAAAACCCAAAACGTATGTTAACTATTCTAAAAACTATAACAGATAAATCAACTATCTTCTATGTACTGTTCGTACCAAATAACAACTTTTTCGGATCGATCAACTAGGTATCCTTTAGTCAAAGGATTATTTGACTTTGACGATTATTTTATAACTCCTTTTCTCCTAATTAACCCTATCATTTTTCATATTCGATAATTCTCTTCCAAAATTTCTATTTTCACTTTTGACACAATATTAGTACATCGAGGTAATCTAGTTACTTGGCGGTATAATTTCTGATTTTTTTGTATATGTTTGACGAACCCAAACATAAAGTGATGTTCTGCCCATTTAATTTTAATAATAATATCTATTATGATTTGATTGAGATAGCTATTATATATTATTCTAAATAATTCCACATTATGTTTCGGATATACTTTTTGCAATTTATCGTATGTATAAAGTTTTTCTAAGAAACATTTGACTTGGCAGTATGTCATACCGTTGTTCTTTTCCAAATTGATTTCTTTGCATATTTTGTTGTCTTAATTATGTGAAATAATCTCCGATTAATATTACTACGCTCTATACTTTTGCGCCATTCGATATAAGCCACCTTTTGTCTTGAATTAAATTATAGGTTATTTGGCGTAAGTCTCCTTTAACTAAATATCATCTCCAAAAATATCTTGTATTCCATATTTGTATAATTTTATTCTTGTTCTTCAGGAATTTATACTTTTCGTTTTAGTATCCACATATCCATTTCATTTGTGAGCTATTATTTTAAAATTACTGATAAAATCTATTATACAAAATTCAAATTCCCTTAATATATATATATATATATATTACGGATAATATTTTTTTTTGAGCAATTTTAAATGAGTCGACTTTTTAGTCAATTCCCGTAATTTCCACTTATAAGGAAGGTCCCAGACTCCGTTTTCAAATTTTCTATATTAGTTTGTTTAAGTAATTAATACGCGTCAATCAGAAATATCATAGACGCACAACTTTACGAATTTTAAAGATCCTATTATAGGATTTTTGTTCATCATTCCATGCGGGTTGTGCCTTATATTAACGCCATATGGGCGTATTTATTTGTTCAATTATACGTTCTCCTACATAATTATTAAAAAATTATTAATCAGCCTTTTACCCGAAAATAACGACTTGCGTCCGTCAAATTTAACCTAAGAAATATAATACCTGAGAATGTAACACCACAAACAAATCTCTTGTTTCATTGAAAAAGAAAAGCTTAGAATGGTTTTTATAAAAAAATATTGACAATTAGTCATTAACTAAAAATCATTAAGTATTTTTGAAGTATTTGAGTTTATACACTACAAAAATTCGCGAAAAAAAAGGAAATCTCTTTTATATCAAGAATATTTCAACTCAAAAGTACAAAAAAAAAAAAGGATACAAATTTTTTGCAATTTTTAACATTGTACTCATTCCTAGACTCTTTCGTGTGTCGATCTCCGATTTAAATGCTTAAAAATTTAAAAAATTTTACGAATGGTTAGGGTAAATGATCCCATGATTAACTCGTGGACTGTGACGCAACAATGACGCAATATTGTCACACAGCAAGAATGAGCGGATGTTCCAATAAACATCAATATTATATAATCAACAACTGATTGGGAAAAAAAAAACCTGAATCCGGACTAAAATTGCATAGCTTATTTTTATTTCTTATGATTCGCGTAAAATTTGTTACAAAAGCTTATATAAAGTATTGTTGATTAAAAGATTAAAATATGATGGCATAATTTTTTAAATTATAAATTTTGAGTCCTTAACCCAACCCATAATTAGTTTTCCTTCTTTTTTATCTTTTCCGATAAGAAATAATCCTTCATGAACATTCCAACCTTTCCAATAAATTGTTAAAACTTCAATTTGCGGTAAATTTTTTATTCTAATATATTCCCAATGATGATTAACTGTAGATAATAAGTGCATTAACTCCCATGGGCGATTTACTTCTTCATTATTCCAATTATAATCATCTTTTTTAGAACCTCCAAATATTGCAATTCGATTATTCATCGTAAACATTCCAGCAAAAATTCTTTTACCCGGTACAGGTTTCTGGTAAGCCGATGTAGTTGATTTCCAATCGGACGGGAGTAACATTGAGGTTCTTCCTTCGATGGGAAGATTTAATAGTTTATACCATTTTTCTTTATAAAAATCGAAGACCGAAATATCCTCATCGTCATGAATTTCCGAAGAATTCGAAAAAAATTTGTATTTTTGACCACCGTAAATATAAAGTTTCCCTTTCGTTATGTGAGAACACGGTAAAGATCGTCGATATGGAATGTTAGATTCTTGGACATAATAATTCCAACTTTTCGATTTAATATCGTATATTGCAAAATCTTTGCTATCGAAAGAAAATTTTTTATCTATTTTTAAAAATAAAAAGATTAAAATTATTTTTTACTAAAATATGAAAATTTAAGAGTACAAGCTATTCATTTTAATAAATAAATAAATAAATAAATAAAAATATAAATATAAATAAATATATATATATATATATTTTAATATATACCGTCAATAATTAATCCACCAAACATCGCTAAACGATGATTGTCTATAACGTCAAGTGTATGCATCATTCGAGGGGTTGGAGTAAAGTTTTCATTATTCTCGTTATTTTTGTTTATAACACGTAAAATAAACGTGTATATATTTAATTCGTAAAAAATGTTGGTAGTTATACCTTTATCGATATTTTCTCCACCAAAAATATAAATAAAATTTTTAATTGCAGCTGAAGCGTAATATTTTATTGGTTCATATTGATGTTCTGAACCAGATTCGATAATTAAGGGTTTTTGAAACCATTTGATCGGTTTATTTGTTAGATCGAGCAACCAACAAATCGGATTCTCTTTACGAAAAATCGGTAAATAAAAAATATCGTTTAACCACACTCCATGTCTATAGTAAGCGATAGGGATATCAATATGCGAAATTTCTTCCGGTTCCCAAATGGGAGAAATGATTCCGAAGTGATATTTGCGTGCGATGTGGTACAATAGTTTACAGGTCCATGAAAGTTTCCGCAGATCATTTGTCCCTAACATATCCATAATAACGTAAAAAATTTCTGTAGGTAATTTTAAAAGAGTACGTTTGTTCGTAGAAATCAAGTCCGTGGGTTGCATTTTTTTTTTTATCTTCTTCAATTTATTAATGTAAAAATATAGGGAAAGGAGAAGTAGATAAGTTAAAAGGACAAAATTTTTTGATTATACAGCATATACAGCAAAACAATAAAAAAATAAAAATAAAAATAAATAAAAATAAAAAATAAATGAACGAACATACAACATCATTTAATTTTGTGAGGAAGTGAATAACCTCGACCCGAATGAATGATCGAATGATAAAGAAATTAATCTCTTTGCGATTTTTTTTTTAAAGGAGTGAAATAGAGAACATCTCTTCGAAAGGGGATTTCAATGCGGGCAATTTTTAAATTTTTTGCGACAAACTAGTATATAAATACATTTAAAAAAACGAATATTCACGTGCCACCATTACCAAACGTTATTCAATGAAATTCTCGATTATTACTATTACGAAATTTTCTATGAATACTATACTCTTTATAGATTTGACACGTGTAACTATTTAAATGCCTACTTTCAAAGCTATTTGAACATGAATGCGCAGCAAAAATGAATTTAGTTAGCATATTATGTCATTCGGTTATTTGTGTAGCTTTATAAACGAATGTTTAAATGAAATTAAAGCGGATCGAAACGGTGAAGTAGATAACTGGACACAATTTCTACATTTGATATGATTCTATTGCACAATATAAGGATAAATACATAAAATATATAATGGTAGAAATGTAACGTTATACTTGGATGATATAAATAATGTAAATAGAGTATCTTTCTTTAAAAAAAGAAAAATAAAGAAAACCATATATTGAGTGAGATTCCAAAAGAAGAGTCATAAAAGGGTTTTGTTTTGATCAGATTTTAATAACAATGATGCAATATACATAAAAGACACGTCCAAATTCAATTATTTGTGTTATTTTCACAAGTATTTGCAATCTTATATAGAAAAAAAATATGTATAATTTAACCTAAAAAAAAATTTTCATAAAATCATAAAAAATCGATTTCTTTGTTCGAATTGTAACTTGTAATATAAAAAATTTTTTTTTTTTCCTGTATGTAACAAAAGTGCAGATTTACTCGGGTCCATTGGCGTTTCTGATATAATAATTTATAATAGGATCAATATTAATGATT